CAGCAATACACCAAAAAAATGATCCACCATGACCAAGTGGGATTCATTCCAGGGATGCAAGGCTGGTACAATATTCGCAAATCAATAAATGTGATACACCACATAAATAAAATGAAGAATAAAAACCACATAACCATATCAATAGATGCCAAAGAAGCCTTTGACAAAATTCAGCATCCATTTCTGATAATAATGCTCATCAATGTGAGAATAGAGGGATCATATCTTGACATAATAAAGGCCATATATGAATGACCTACAGCCAACATCATACTCAATGGGCAAAAATTAAAAGCATTTCCTTTAAGAACAAGAACAAGACAAAAATGCCCACTTTCATTACTCGTATTTAACATTGTACTGGAAGTCTTAGCCACATCAATCAGACAGGAAGAAAAATAAAAGGAATCCAAATGGGAAAGGAGGAAGTAAAACTGTCATTATTTGCAGATGACATGATACTGTACATAGAAAACCCCAAAGACTCCATCAAAAGTTTACTAAACTTAATAAATGAATTTGGCAAAGTAGCAGGATACAAAATTAACATCAAGAAATCAGTGGCATTCTTACACACCAATGATGAACTCACAGAAAGAGAAACTAAGAAAACAATCCCATTTACCATTGTGGCAAAAAAATTAAGACACCTAGGAATAAACTTAACCAAAGATATAAAGAACCTATTCGCAGAAAACTACAGGTCATTGAAAAAAGAAATAGAGGAGATATAAAAAACTGAAAGCACATACCTTGTTCATGGATTGGAATAATTAACATAATTAAAATGTCCATACTACACGAAGTAATCTATAGATTCAATGCAATCCCCATCAAAATATCAATGACATACTTCTCAGAAATAGAACAAATACTTCAAAAGTTCATATGGAACCGAAAAAGACCCTGAATAGCCACAGCAATCTTGAACAAGAAGGACAAAGCGGGTGGGATCACAATACCAGAGATCAGGTTATACTACAAAGCCACTGTAATCAATACAGCCTGGTACTGGCACAAGAACAGGCATATAGACCAGTGGAACATAACAGAGAACCCAGAAATGAACCCAAGGCAATATGTTCAATTAATATTTGACAAAGGGGGAAAGAGCCTACAATGGAGTAAGGACAGCCTCTTTAATAAATGGGGCTGGGAAAACTGGACAGCTACATGCAAAAAAACAAACAAACAAAAAAAATGAAACTAGACCATCAACTTACACCATACATAAGAATAAACTCAAAATGGATCAAAGACTTAAATGTGACCCATGAATCCATAAAAATCCTAGAAGAAAATGTAGGCAACAAAATTTCGGACATCATACGCAGCAGAATTTTCACTGATACATCACCTAAGGCAATGGAAGCAAAGGAGAAAATAAAAACATGTGACTACATCAAACCAAAAAGCTTCTGCACAGCAAAAGAAACAACCATCAAAATGGAAAGGGAACCCAGTGTATGGGAGAGCATCATTGCCAATGATACATCAGATAAGGGGTTAATTTCCAAAATATATACAGTGCTCATACAACTCAACAAAAGGAAGACAAAGAACCCAGTTAAAAAATGGGCAGAGGAACTAAATAGACACCTCTCCAAACAGGACATAAAAATGGTCAAGAGACACATGAAGAAATGCTCAACATCACTAATCATCAGAGACATGCAAATTAAAACAACAATGAGGTATCATCTCACACCTGTCAGAATGGCTGCCATCAACTAATTATCAAACGAGTGTTGGCGAGGGTGTGGAGAAAAGTGTACTCTAGTGCACTGTTGGTGTTAATGCAGTCTGTTGCATCCACTATGGAAAACAATATGGTGTTACCTCAAAAAATTAAAAATTGAACTCCCATTTGACCCAGTGATCCCACTTCTAGGAATATACCCTAAGAAGCCTGAAACACCAATCAGAAAGAATATATGTACCCCCATATTCATAGCAGCACTATTTACAATAGCTAAGATCTGGAAACAGCCCAAATGTCCATCAGTAGACGAATGGATAAGAAAGCAGTGGTCCATATACACAATGGAGTACTATGCAGCTGTAAGAAAGAAAGATCTCTTATCCATTGAGACGACATAGAGGGACCTGGATAGTATCATTTTAAGTGAAACAAGCCAAAGAAAGACAAGTATCATATGATCTCACTTATTTGTGGAATATAATGAACATAACAGTCTGAGAAATGTGGTAGTTCCAGAGAGATGGAAGTGGGGTACAGACTGACAATCCCCAGAAGAGGGGGTGTTGGGGGAGAGTAAGCCAAAGAACTTATATGCATGTGTGCATGTGTGCATGTACAATGAACATGGACAACAAAGCTGGGGACAGGGCGGAGAGGGAGGGGGGGGAATCAGTGGGGGAAAAAGGAGAAACATCTATAACAAAAATAAATTAATTCGTTAAATTTAAAAAAAAAAGTGCACAGGAAGAATTTCAGAAGAACATACATGAACCAGATTAAGATGGAGAGACAAGGAATCAATGTATTTCTATTTCACTTTTATAACTAAAATAATATATATTTTCCCCCTTAAACTATTAGTTAGAATGAAGTTTAAAAGAAAAAGACCCTATTTCCTCACATATAATTTATTTGAAAATGAATATGATGATTTATATAATATAGAGCAAAAAACTGAAGTTACAGTAATAGTAATCGAGTTTCTGAAGTGTGCCCTTTTGGTTGTAAAGAGAAATAAATAAACTTGATTTGCATATGTAAGAGCAGATAGAGAGAGGAGAGTGGGTGGATATGGAAGAGCGCATAGAGGGAATAAATGTTGATGGATAAAATAAAATAATTTAAAAAAAATTTAAGTGGTCATATGAGGTATATAACAAGAATGTTGTTAAAGCATTGTTTCATAAAAGAAACAACTTACTGTGTTTCACCTGCCCTGGTGAATCACCAGATTCTGAGCAGAATTAATCAGGTTTACTCTACATCATCCTGATACTTTGTAACATGAGGAGAAGGAGGAGGAGGAGGAGGAGGAGGAGTCCTTTGATTTGATTCATTTGAAAGATCAGGAAAACAATGTCATCAACTCACTATGGAGTGAACTTTATAAATTTCCTTTTACATTAATGAAAATCTCATGAGAATATCATATGCTATTGAGTTCTAACGTAAAATCCTGATATAAACTACACCCTCGCTGAACCTTCACCTCTGACTTTGCCAGAGTAGTTGAAGGTCAGACTCCTTTTGTACCAGGTTGTAGACCATCTTCTGAACCTCACATCATTCTTGGCTCTAGCTAGTCTCTAGTAAGAGAACATTCTATTTTAAATAATTTATATTTTATTTTCTATCTCCAAACTTTGGGTTATTTAAACTTTTAAGGTTTTTTTATTGTTGTTTTGATAAGTTGTTGTTGTTTTTTTTTCCATTTCAAGTAGCAAAAAACTACTTTCAATGTACTCTACAATTTATTTCTGCCACTTCCTCTATAACCTAAAATGCTTTCTGTTTCCAGGGTAGCAACATCTGGGCCTATTGTTCTTCAGCTGCTGTGGGCCTGCAAGCCACAAGGTGTGCAGTGGCCTTGGGCACTTGACCATAAAGGCACCACGGAAGTGAATGAAGGTCACCTTCAGGAACGCTGGATAATACATTGAGCACAGCATGAAATAATAAGGATAAAAGAATTTTGGTGACAGATTAAAGGACAGTGGCACATAAAAAACATGGTAATAATCACTGAGTACTTACTTTGGTTTCAAGCACTTGCGAAGTCTTGAAAAAATTAATTTAATTTTCAAGAAAAAATTCTGAAGATGGAGGAGCAGTTAACTACATATCAAATGTCACATATGTGACAAGGCAATATTAAATTCCTTACAGTGACTCTTGTCCAACCTTGTGTAATTTCCTTTAGTTTCAGTATAGTTTGTGTATTATATTTATACTCAGATATTTTATATGAGTTTGATCTATGTAAAGGACAAGTTAAAATAACACAGTATTGCCCTGGCCGGTTTGGCTCAGTGGTTGGAGCGTTGGCCTGCGGTCCTGAGAGATCCGGGTTCGGTTCCCGCTAAGGGCATGTACCTCGGTTGCAGTTTATCCCCGGCCCTGGTCGGTTGTGCGGGTGGCAGCCACTCGATGTGTCCCTTTCACATCGATGTTTCTCTCTCTCTCTCTGTTCCTCTCTCTCCCCCCCACTCTACCTGAACAAAAAATGGAAAAATGTCCTCGGGTGAGGATAAAAAAAATAAATAAATAACACAGTATTAAACAACATTCACAAGGAAAATAATAGTGTCAGATTGAATTGCATTTATATTCCTTCCTTCTCCCTTTCTCCTCTTCCTCCTTCTTTTTCTTTTTAATAAATAGTATTTATCTTCTTTTCTCTTTTAGGGGCTGGGATTTATTTTTTCATCTTTTCTATTTCTTTGTTCCATGAGACAGTGAGCACGGAGAAGCCATTTAATAAATTATTGCTAAATGAACATATGGATAACTAAACAAATTAATTTTTATTGGCTGATATTCCCATTATTATGATACCCCCGCTATGTGCTGGATATTGTGCTAAGCATTACATATTATAATGACAAAAATGGTGCAATTCATGTATTCTCTCTATTTTATAAATGGGAAACCAAAAGTAAAATCTTAATTAAATTGTCCATAATCATGTACTTCAGGGAAGGGGCACAAAAAGCATTAGAGCTGAGCTCCTTCTACACCTAAAGCATCTTCACAGGCCAGTGTGCCATGCCGCATTATAAATGATCTCCTTTGATCTCCACGTAGCGGAAATATGATGAAGTCAAGGATCTCCATCACAATATCTTAAGTTTGATTTGCCAAATATATCAGAATAGAGATGTGTCAGAATAAAGTAAATTGTATGAATTATAGATATAATTCCACAATAATAAAATAACTTAATAATTAAAAATAATCTGCTATCGATTCAAAGGAGTTTCATTTGGGGGGAATATTTTATTTAAAATATACCTAATTTGTGCTCATACTGGCAGCACATATAGTAAAACTGCAATGATACAGAGAAGATTAGCATGGGCCTTGTGCAAAGATGACATACATATCTGTGAAGCATTCCATATCTTTGAAAAAATGTTAAAAGCAGCAAGAGTCAGAAAGTTACCTACAAGGGAGCCCTCATTAGACCGTCAGCTGATTTCTCCCTAAAAATAATGCAGGCCAGAAGAGAATGGTATGAAGTGCACAAAATAATGAAAAGCAAGGGTCTGAATCCAGCAAAGTTATCATTCAAAATTGAAGCTGAAATAAAGAGATTTACAGACATAAAAAGTTTAGAGAAATTTAATAACACCAAATCTGCACTGTAAGAAATGCTAAAGGGATTGTTGTAAGGAGAAGAAGAAACACACACAGAGAGAAACATAGGCATAAAGAATAAAAATGGCAACAAATAAATACCAATTAATAATAACCTTAAATGTAAATGGCTTAAATGCTCCAAACAAAAGACATAGGATAGCTGATTAGATAAGAAAACTTGACCCATATACATGCTATCTACAAAGAGACCCACCTCAGAACAAAAGACTCACACAGGATGAAAGAGAAGGGATGGAAAAAAAATTTGTCATGCAAAGGGAAATTTAAAAAAAGCTGTTGTAGCTATAGTTATAGCTGATAAGATGGACTTCAAAATGAAGGCCATCATGAGAGACAAAGAAAGTCATTACATAATATTAAAGGGATAGATCCAACAAGAAGATACAACAGTGTTAAACATATATGCACCAAATATAGGAGCACCAAAATATATTAAGAAACTTCTGAAGGACTTTAAGGGAGAGACTGACAGCAATACAATCATAGTAGAGGACTTTAAGACCCCACTGATATCACTGGATAGATCTTCTAGACAAAAAAATTAGCAAGGAAACTGAGAACCTAAATGATGCACTAAATCAGCTGGATTTAGTTGATATTTACAGCACATTTCACCCCAAAGCAGCAGAATATACATTCTTCTCAAGTGTATATGGGCCATTCTCAAGGATAGATCACATATTAGGACACAAAATAAGTCTACAAGTTCAAAAAGATTAAAATAATATTAGGCATCTTTTGGGATCACAATGGCATTAAACTAGATATAAGTTATAATAAAAACACTCAAAAACATTCAAACACATGGAGGCTAAATAGCATGTTATTAAATAATAAATGGGTTAGCAATGAAATAAAAAAGAAATACAAAATTTCCTGGAAACTAATGAAAATTACCACACGACAACACAAAATCTAGGGGACCCAAGTAAAAGCAGTCCTGAGAGCAAAGTTCATAGCAATACAGGCCTACCTCAAGAAATAAGAAAAAATTTTAATAGACTATATAATCCTACAACTTAAACATTTAGAAAGAGAACAAAAAGAATAACCCAGAGTTAGTTGAAGGAAGAAAATAATAAAGATCAAAGTGGAAATAAATGACATAGAGACTAGAAAACAGTACAAAAGATCAATGAAACCCAGAGTTGGTTCTTTGAAAAGATAAACAAGATTGATGAACCTTTAGGTACTCACCAGAAAACAAAAGAGAGAGGATCCAAATTAATAAAATCAGAAACAAAAGAGGTGAAATAATAATTGACACCACAAAAATACAGAAGATTGTAAGAAAATACTATGCACAGTTATATGCCAACACATTGGTTAACCTAAGTGAAAAGAACAAAGTCCTAGAATCATACAGTCTTTCAAAACCTAACTGCAAAGAGTCAGACAACCTGAACAGGCCAATAACAACTAAGAAAATAGGAGCAGTAATCAATAAATTCCCAGCAAACAAAAGCCTTGGCAAGATGGCTTCACAGGGGAGTTTCACCAAACATTCAAAGAACTAACACCTATTCATTTCAAACTATTTCAAATCCAAAAGATTTCAGAGGAAGAAAGACTTCCAAGTTTGTTTGTTTGTTTTTTAATGAGGCCAGCATATTCCTAATTTCAAACCAGATGAAGACAGTAAAAAAAAAAAAAATTATAGACCAATACCTTGGATGAACATAGATGTCAATCAAAATCCTCAACAAAATTTCAGCAAATTGGATCCAGCAATATATCAAAAAAAAATTATATACCATTACCAAATGGGATTTATCCCAGGGATGCACGGATGGTACAATAGTTACAGATCAATAAATGTGATACACCACAAAAAAAAAAAAAAAAAAAAAAAAAGAAAAGAAAAAGAAAGGTAAAAACCATATGATCATACCAATTAATGTTGAAAAAACATTTGACAAAATCCAGCACCCATTTTTGATGAAAACTCTTAGCAAAGTGAGAATAGAAAGATCATACCTCAACATAATAAAGGCCATATATGACAAAACTACAGCCAACTTCATACTCAATAAGCAAAAACTGAAAGCATTTTCCTTAAGAACATGAACAAAAAAGAGATATCGCTTTAACCACTCATATTCAATATAGTATTGGAAGTCTTAGCCACAGCAATCAGACAAGAAGAAAAAATAAAAAGCATCCAAACTGGAAAGGAGAAAGTGAAACTGTCATTATTTGCAAATTACATGATATTGTACATAGAAAACCCTAAAGACTCCACCAAAAAACAACTAGATTTAATAAATGAATTCGACAAAGTAGCAGGGCACAAAATCAACATACAGAAATAATTGTCAATTTTATATACCAATAGTGAACACACAGAAAGAGAAACTTAAAAATATATATATCATTTACCATTGAAACAAAAAAAATAAGATACTTTGGAATAAACTTAACCAAGGAGGTAAATTACCTATTCTCAAAAAACAATAGGACATTGAAAAAGAAATAGAGGGCCCTGGCCAGTTTGGCTCAGCAGTTAGAGCGTCGGCCTGCGGTCCAGAGAGACCCGGGTTCGGTTCCCGCTAAGGGCATGTACCTCGGTTACAGTTTGTCCCCGGTCCTGGTTGGGTCGTGTGGGTGGCAACCACTCGATGTGTCCCTTTCACGTCGATGTTTCTTTCTCTCTCCCTCCCACTGTATCTGAACAAAATATCAAAAACGGTCCTCGGGTGAGGACTAAAAAAAACAAACAAACAAAAAAGAAATAGAGGAAGATATAAAAAAGTGAAAGCATATATCATGTTTATGGATAAAAGCTGACATCATTAAATCATCCATCCCACCCAAAGCAATCTATAGATTCAATCCAATCCCCATTAAAATACCAATGGCGTATTTCACACATTTAGAACAAATACTCCAAAAGTTTATGTGGAACCAAAAAAGACCCTGAATAGTCACAGCAATCTTGAAAAAGAAGAACAAAGCTGAAGGGATCATAATTCCAGATACCAGGTTCCACTACAAAGCCATTATGCTCAAAACATCTTGCTTCTGGCACAATAGCAAGTATGTCGATCAATGGAATAGAACAGAGAATGCAGAAATTGACCCAAGACATTATGCTCAATTAATATTTGAGAAAGGAGGCAAGAGCAATCAATGGAGTAAAGACAGCTTCTTCAATAAATGGAGCTGGGAAAACTGGACAGCTACATGCAAAATAAATTAAACTAGAACACCAAATTACACCACATACAAGAATAAAATCAAAATGGTAAAAGATTTAAATATCACTTATGAAACCATAAAAATCCTACATGAAAATGTAGGCAGCAAAATCTCAAACATCACTAATAGTAGTATTTTCACTGATACATCACCTAGGGCAAGACAAACAAAGGAAAGTATTTTAAAATGTGACTGTATCAAACTTAAGAGCTTCTGCACAGAAAAAGAAACCAGCATCAAAATAAAAAGAGAACCCACTCTATGGGAGAACATATTTGCCAATGATATATTGGATAAGGTGGTAATTTCCAAAATATATAGAGTACTCAAGTCAAAAAAAAGAGACAAAGAATCCAATTAAAAAATGGGGAGAGGACCTAAGTAGACACCTCTCCAAACAGGACATACCAATGGCCAACAGACACATGAAAAAATGCTCAATGTCAATAATCATCAGAGAGATGTAAATTAAAACAACTATGAGGTATCACCTCACACCTGTCAGAATGGCTGCCATCAACAAATCATCAAACAAGAAGTGCTGGTGAGGGTGTGGAGAAAAGGGGACTCTAGTACACTGCTGGTGGGAATGCAGACTGGTGCACCTACTATGGAAAACAATATGGTGTTTTCTCAAAAAATTAAAAATTGAACTGCCATTTGATCCAGGGATCCTACTTCTAGGAATAAATCCTAAGAAGCCTGAAACACCAATCAGAAAAAAATGTATGCACCCCTCTGTTCATAGCAGCACTATTTACAATAGCTAAGATCTGAAAACGGCCCAAATGTCTATCAATAGGTGAGTGGATAAAAAAGCTGTGGTACATTTATACACTGGAATCTATGCAGGTGTAAGAAAGAAAGATCTCTTCCCATATGAGATGACATGGGTGAACCTGGAGAGTATTATGCTAAGCAAAACAAGCCAAGCAGAGAAAGACAAATATCACATGACCTCACTTATTTGTGGAATATAATGACAAAATAGATCCAGACACTTGGAAGTAGGGAACAAACTGACGAACCTCCGAGGGAAGGGGTGTGAGGGATTGGGAAAAGATAAATCAAAGAACTTATATACATATATGCATAACCAATAACACAGACAACAGTACAGTGACGATGGGGGCAGAGCAGGGAGGAGGGTATCAATGGGGAAAAAGGAGGGACGTCTGTAATAAAAAATATAAATTAATTTAAAAAATAAAAATAAAAAAAAGGGTTCCACAAAGAACTTATATGCATATATGCATAACTAATGGACACAGACAACAGTGTGATGAAGTTGGGGGGGGGATGGGAGCGAGGGGTACAAAAATAAACACATAAATAAATAAATCAATAAGTAAAATATACCCAATTTTAAATAAACTTCAGAATGATTCTAAATACTTAAATAGTATATAAATATAGGTTTAATGAATACATATTAAGATAGTAAGAAAGCATGAATAAAAAGTTTGGTAGAACAAAGAAAAATATTAGTATACAAAATGTGTGCTATTAAGAGTGCATTAGGCAGATTTTAGTCAGCAAAGCAGAGC